CCTTCGTGCAGTCCAACGTTAGTTTGAATGAAAACGTAGTTTACACAACCAAGTCCTTCTGACTGTCAAATTGCTGCAGCGATGCACCGTTTAAGAAGTAAATTCTCTTGGTTGAGGCTTCACAGCTGTCGATTTGAAAAAAAGTTGCATTCGCTAGAAACAAAGGGCATAAGCCAGTGTTTTCACAAGTCCTCGAGCCTGTTCAGATTTGTTTGCGGATGATTTTCAACCATTGGCTGAAAGGAAACTTCGAACATATGGACCTTCGGGCAATATACAGAACGAGTCAGTGTTTTATTAGTTGGCTTTGATTGTCATCGTTCTTCCAGCGATACGACATTTTTGTGCCTGAGTCGATCCAGGAATTTGTTAGCCGGACCATCATCGATTTGGCTTGAGAGGAGGGTCGTAGAATTGGCGAGCTGTTGGTATACGAGGACGACTTGGGTCTCCTCGCTGTACTTGACGTGGTTTCTCGCGTAAGTTGTTCTTTCTTTGCTTGTTCGCTGTGCTATTGTGTCCTTCATTCAGTTCGCCCAATTGTGAAAAATTCGCGGGCTCGGTGGTAGTCGAACCCACATAACAGGAACGGCTTTTAGGCAGCCAACATTCTGCCATTGAGCTACGCGGCTCACCGTGAGGCTTGAATTTAATCACATTTGGATCGATTTTACCCACCTACCTTACTCCTAGTCTTGAATCCACCATTACAGAACAACAAACTGACTGCCAAGGCAGGATTTCCTAAGCAATCATGTTGAATCTACCAGAATGACTACCAGTCTAGTCTATATTAAATTTATTACTTTCTTCTGTTTCCGCGAGGATTCTATTTATGGTATGCTTATTCGTCATGCTTAGGAGGTAACTTCTGGCACATGGTGTGTTTAGCCTCTGGTGTTGCGTTACTTTCTACTATTATGGCTTCAATGACAGTAACGAATGCATCGGCTTTAGCAATCACTGCATTAAAATCAGTTTCATGACTCACCATTTTCAGTTATTGTTCACTCAATTGTCTCACATGTTCGTTTGAGTACATTCGGATTTTAATTTGTTCAACTGCTGGCAGAATTTCAAACGCTTAGACTCTTGTCTTGGGTTT